GTAGGCTAGGAATTTGTGTGGGAGGGTTGGGGAGGGGAGGGCAGCGAGTGTCCGTTGCATCGATCTGTGGCTCTCTCTCTCTCTCCCTCTCTCTGTCGCTCTCTTCCTTATTTCTCTCTCGCAAGGGTGGCCACGAGGACAAATATTCTACCCCACAACCTACCGTACCTCAGGTATACTATCGATGCAATCAAGTGCAAAATGTGTGCAATAAGTTCGGATTCACGCGACATTTCACTAACCTTTAGCTTTCAGTCGTGGCTGATAGATAATAAATAGACCAAATTTGTGGCAGGTTATTGCTAACGACCCTAACAACTACCTTTAAGTGTCCGTTTTGGGCAACTACGAGATACTTCGAAATTGAGCGATTCCAAAAGAGACAAGGATAAGCAACAAATTTTTCCTGATCCCGTTACGAACTAAAAAAACAGGATGTTTTAGTGTTCTTGGTTCGTAGCTTATGGATTTGGGTACTGTGTACTGGATATTTTCATGAAGATCGAAGAAATTGAAGCAAAGTATCTTCGTATGTCAAACGTTAAAACTTCCTCATGAACCTCGTTTTTGAATGTGGTCAACTCCACCTAAATTTCTGCTTCTTGAAATGCTAGGAATTTCAAGCAAAAGCCTAGTAAAACACGAGGCGCTTAAAAATAATTGTGATCAGCGAAGCGATTTACAATTTTTTTTTAATTTCAATTTTAATTTTTTTTTTTTTTTTTAATTTTACCTCTTTCACCTTCCCCAACCCCCAAAAAAAGTAAATCCCCCCTCCTTCTCACAAGAAATCTCGGCAAGAAAAATTCCAAGATAACTGTTTTTTTTTGCGACAAGATGATTTCGACATATCCCGACAAAATGAAAACGCCCGGTGAAATACATTAATCTATGATTAAGCGGTGAGTTGCTCTAATGTAGGCATTCAATGGTAGGTATATACAGGCAATAGAGAGTAGCTTGCAAGGCTAGAAGGGGTCCTACCGTAAACCCGGTGGGTATTGGGAGTGTTGTGTTGGGTGGGTGTGGGGGAGAGCTGGTGAGTCTCCGCCTAATCGATCAGCTGTCGCTCTCTTGCTATCTCGGCCTTTCCCTTTGTCTCTCTCTTGTGGGGGGTCCTCAGCCGGGGGACCCTCTGTTAGTATTCCAACCCACACCTACCGTATACTGTGGATTAAATTTTTTATACTTGCAGACTCGTCGTAAATTTTTTCGAGGTGGGCGGAGTTTTTGCCAGGGGAGCTTTGAAAGAGATTCTGCAAAAATAGTTTGAAAAAATATTTTCGCTCGAGTGTTTGCAGCAGTCGAAACAATGCGAACCTGAGGATTTTCATCCTCAAAAGCGCTGTAATTGCTCGGAAAACCAGATTAACTCAAAGTAGAAACCTGCTCCAGAGTCAAAGCAAAATTCTGCAAAAGATAGGCTGCCTAAAACTGAGCTGTACCTCAAAAACGTTTCCTTGTTAGTATCGCTTTCGGCCCTCCAACAGATGGCATTTTCGAAATCCTATCTTATAAGCGAGAAAAGTATGTTTGTTTCCGGTAATGATGATTCCTCGACCGTCAGGCCGATTTTCCGGCTGATTTTGAGAATTGAGAGATTGAGATTGAGACATCCGGCTATAACAGCACTTTTTTTGTTTTGAGAAATATTCAAAGATTTTACAATCAAAACAATGAAAAATCCTTAACAAAGTGGGCTGCGAGCCGTGGTGGTCGGGCCATAACTCGAAGCCCAGACAGAATTTCGGTCTGTGTTTTGGAGCACTTAGGTATTTGATAGGGGCGATCACGCGCATTCTATTATCTATAACAATTTTCTGCGGATTCGGCCTGAAAATGAAATTTTGTACATGGACCAGAAGGATCACCCATTCCTTTTACCTTTTGGCTCTGCCACGTGGCTCAAAGATTTTAGCGTAACGCCGCCTCTGGCGCCGCAGGCCAAAGAATGGCTCTTTGACTCAGAGCTTGCGCCGCGGTCTCAAAAAACATCCAAAAATGATTAAACATACCAAAATGCTACTCAGACAAAACGATGGCAGTTTGAAAATACCGACACCATTACCCTGTGGTGCCCTTAGCTTCAGCCAACGTTTTTAAGCTATACAATTTTTACATTACTATTTTTTGGGCTAATAATCTACTTCCTTTATTTTAGCTTTATGTTTTCTTCATGCATTTTTCAACCTCCAATCGATTAGCGCGTCTCGAATACCAAAAATCAGAGAAATCCCGCCATCTGTGGGACTCAGTTTTTGACCCCCTTTCTTTATTACTTTAAAAATTTTCCGTATATTTTTCGGAGTGAAACTAATTCCTTTATTATATTTTCAAGGCGCTATGCAATCATTTGCACGAACATCAATCAAAATCAATCAACAGTGATCAAAAATTGGTTTACGGTCTTTATCGAAACAGGCTATTTGCATACGTTAAAAGAATAAACGGACGCCAAACCGGAAACAGCATTGTTGCCTTCCGCTGCATTATTCGAACGTCATACCGTGCAGTATGGCGGCCCGCTCCTCGATGATGCTCGTTGGCATTTTGCTGCTCCATCTTGGCTTCTCTGACGCGATCAAATGCTACTCTTGCGCGTTTCTCGACGGGGACGAACCAGCCGGGGATAGACCCTGTCCAGAAGGCAGCAAGGTGAGACTTTCCACTTGTGAGAAATAAGTTCACACGCGTGTAAAACAATTCACACCCGTATAGAAATGTTTAGACGGGTGTAATTTTGCAGCTTTTCTTAAGAAATTTGTTAAGGAAGCAAAAAGACGCCTGTAAAAAAAAGTTTACACGAGTGTAAAATATTTACAAGGTGTAAAAATGGGGTTTTTTTGCCGAAATGATGAAACAAGCCGAAAATTTACACGCGAGCGGCCTAAATTTACACACCAACTTGGAAGATCCGATCCCAAAAACCCACATTCCCTTGTCAGGCGCTGGATGATGTCGAGGACTGCTCAAGCATGTACTGCTTTTTTCATTACAAAGTGTACGCGTACCACAACCAGCGCATCTCCGCGCGGGGCTGCGAATACCAGCAGTGGCAGAGGGATATCGTTTGTGAGTACAGCGGGTCGCCGGAGACGGGTATGTTCGGCTGGCTGTCTTTGGTTCTTTCAGATTATCGGGGCGGGGAGGGTTGCAACTGGACTTGCATTTTTCGCTTAGACTTCAGCTTACCCCCGCTGGCACCCAACTTTTGTATCCCGGCTCCCTGTTCATCTACAGATGTGTAAAGTATACCAAAATATTCGTCTTGCTTTTGCGAGTATCTTGGTATACTTTACACGTGAGCCGGGTTCTTTAGGATTTCCGGGGGGGGAACCAAATTTTTTCGGCCCAAGCCTAAATTTTTTTCTAAATAGCGCATGCGTTTCTAAATGGTTTTTAATTATTCCTGAGCATAAAAACTACCCACATTTTAATTAAAAAATTTAATTTTAGGTCGAAAAATCCTATAGAACACCTTAGGATTAGCGGGGGGGAAAGACCTTCAAAATGACCAATTTTCGTCTTTTCAAACATTTTCTAACTGTTTTGAAAAAGGTTTTTCTACCTTAAATATGGTTAAAATTTACTAAAAACAATGTGAAAACACTTTATATTTGATTACTAGATCAACCGGGAAAACCAGGAAAAAATTTGGGGTTCTGTTCTATTTCGCGGGGGGAAAAAACTGTGCGGGGGAGGAAATTTTCTTCGCAGAACCTTCCATCTTTTCCCTATTTTCTCGGGATTTGTGCAACGCCATTCGATGAGAGCATCAAAAAATATAATTAAGGTTTTTGTTTTAGCCAAAAATATTGTAATATAAAAAGTTATAGCAAAAACAAAAACGATTGAAACTGGTTCCGGAATGTTAGTTTTAGACATTGCGGCATTTTTTCGATATTTTGAACACGTCATTCGATAGAGGATCAAAAAATATACTCAGAGTTTTAATTTCATCTAAAAATATTGGTTTATAAAATAGTTATAGCAAAAACAAGGTTTATTCGGTGTTTCCACATGGGATCGTGTAGTCGAAAGCTAGTTTTCGACATTTTCGATAACTTTCAAAAATTTCTTTAATGCCATTCGATAGAGCGTCAAAAAATATACTAAGAGTTTTAATGACAACTCAAAATAGCATGATATAAAAGAGTTATAACAAAACGAAGAAAATTTCCCCCCGCACAGTTTTTCCCCCCGGCGGGAAATAGAACAGAACCAAATTTTGGTTTCCCCCCCGGAAATCCTAAAGAACCGTGAGCCGTGATACGGTAGGTGGGGGTCGGCTGGGGGGTAAACTGCACTTAAGCCCATTTGCGTTATTTTCTCAAAATTTTTGCAACGGAGTTTCATTGAGCATCGAAAAGTATATTAAGTGTTTTTGTTTTAGCTCAAAGTCTTGTAATATAAAAAAGTTATGGTAAGAACCTTCAAAATCGTGTACAGCGGCGGTTTTTCGACATTTTCGCCACTTTAAAAACGCCATTCGATAGAGCATCCAAAAATATACTAAGAGTTCTAACACACACACATTATTTTTTATGTATAGTGGGATTCAAAATAATGCAATATAAAATAGTTATGACAAAATAGTTAGGTCGGCCCCAAAAGTCTGTTTCCCCCGCGTAAAATTCCCCCGCATGGCTTACAAAACAAATTATTTTTATTGATTTGGAAATGCCCGTAAAATATTAGGAAGCGCTTTCGTAATCGTTTTAATAAAATAACTATTAAAAACTAGGCTAAAAATTATTTTAATCGTAACCGTTTTTCCAGAGGAAAGCTGGTTTTGCCAATGCGGTACTGATAACTGCAACGGGTGGGACATTCCTGCACTGAAAAAGGCGGTGGAAGACGGCCCGCCCACCACAACGACTACAACGACGACAACCCCACCACCTCCAACGCCAGTGCCATCACCATTGCGCACCGGCACGACTATAACAATTGATTGCTTCTATTGCGCCTCGAACTATAGCGACAACCCAATAGCTCCGATGATGCCCGGATGCGGGGATGGTGGACAGGTAAATGATCTTTGTTATAAACAACCAGATGGTTACATCGCTTCGCGGCTGTAACCATCTGGCATTCGTGCTACCCTACATGTCCTACCCCACCACATCCGCCTACCCCATAGCCGAAATCCTCTTCAAAAACTACCTAGATACAGTAACGGACAAAAGTTTATCACCTCCGTTTTTCCGACCTTCTAGCGCGATTTCCCGGAAATCCCCGGCCATAAAACTTTCAATTTACAATTTATTAGATGTAAAATTACACGCTGATTCCGAATTTGACACTTTTAGAGCCGGGAAATTTGATTTTAAGGGTCAAAATTGCGAATAACTTTTACCCTAAAACACGGTAAAAAACTAACTTTTGCTGTGACGTTTTCGAGGGGCGCCATTGTGATATTCGTAAGCTCCGATGTCACAAATTAGCTAGAATGAGTGGTTTTCGGAATTTTAACGGGTGACTAGATACCATTTCCGGAAAACGGGCAGTTAGCCTCCAACGGGCCTTTAAAAGTGGTTTTCGGCGTATTTCAATAGCGTATCCAGATTCTGGGGTCCCATGGCCATGGCCTAGCTCCGGGTCCAATCCGCAAAACAAGTGCTCCGGGCGGGGGTCGAACCCGCATCCTATGGCTTTCGAGTCCGATGCCCTACCTATTGAGCTACCCACGCGTAATGCCTCTCTCGGGGCAGCTATCCACGCCGGGCCCTCACATCCAACCAAACTATTGACTTTTTGATCAAAAATGTACGAAAGATGACCCGAAACAGTTCAAAATTTTCGAATTTTTGTAATCTTCAAAAATATTGTTTATACTTTCTAGAAATGAGAAAGCACTAAAAACGCAAGAAAATACATAATATATCAGCGACAGCTAGGCATAGGTGGAAAAGCAAAATTTGGTTTCCCTCCTGCCAAATACCCCCCCCCCCTACTAACAGTCCAGAACCATTTTCTGCTACGCCATTCAATAGATAAATCTATAAAGAATATGCTAAGTGTTTTGTGCCAACAGTCTGTAATCCCCGCATAAAATTCTTCTAAACCTCGCCTAGGGATTGGCGCAGCAGACAAGATACTACGATGGGCGCTGCGGAGTGCCGGGCGAGTACTGCCAGATGAATGCCAAATTCTTCCATAATACTACTCTTCATCCGCTCGTCGAGAGATTCTGCGTGAAAGGGACTGATCCGACATGTACGATTGACCACCACGATGACGGTGGGTCAGCTAGGAATTTCAGACATTTTGTAACGTTTTTTGGTTTTGTCGCATGATAGGTTTACGAGGCCACGGTTGAAAAGCCCCGAGGCAGTTTTTCAGCCTTGGTTTATGTTAAACATCTCAAAAATATGGATTTTGCGACCTAAAATGGGCTTTTTTTGGGCAAAATTTCGACTTTTTAGATATTTTTTTGCAGGTTTTTTGATCGGTTGCGGTTGCGAGGGCCGACTGTGCAACTCCTGGAACGCGACGACACTCAGGGAGATGGCGGAAGCTTACCGAGGCCCCGCCCTGAACCTGACAGCCACCGTCTTCACCGCATCCACGGCATCCATCCCCTCCAGCTTTGCCATCTTCCTCTTCCTCGGCTTCCTCAACGCATTCAGTTGAATATGATGGATGTATTTGATGTATTGCGGTGAAAAACCTATTTTTGTGGTGTACATTTGTTGGTGTTATGAATAAATTGTGTTCGGGGAACGTCATTGTCTACAACGGCATTTGTTGAAGAGCGGTGTCGAAAAACCGCTTCGCGGCTTTCTACCATGGCGCCATCCAGCACCTATGAAAGCCCTTCTTCCGCTTCCGGCGTTGCTGCTGCGTAACGTAACAAATTGCTGCGTAACGAAGAGCGTAACCGAAATTTCCCCAATTAACTTTTTGTGATCACGAAAATAATATTTTTTCACGAATCTGATGTGTCGCTATGCGTCCACGGCCCATTTTACACCTTATGACGTTTTTTCTCCTATCTAAAAAGGGCTCCATAAGGATGTAGGAGCCGGACATCGTTGAGAAAGTGGGTGTGCAAATGCAGAAAACAAAAAAACGCGATTTTTTTATACAATAGGATGGTTGGCAGGTAACTTTCAGGTAAACGTCGCTGGTTAAAATTTTTGATCCGTTTCGACCGAGAAGACATGATTCAGAAGGGTTTTTTGTGACCTTCTGAGCTTGACTTCTTGCTGGAAATAACCCTTTTTTCCTAACCATTGAATATCAATTAAATACATATATACTATATACATATTTACACATAATTTTTTTAATAATTTATTTACATTGTCTCACACTCAAAAGTGAACTTGGCGACCGGGCGAAGGCACTGAACGGCATTTGGGGCCGGGGGGGATGAATAGAAATTTCAGGGACGCAAAAATCAAGGAGGGCACGCAGAACCGGTAAAAATCGGGGGGGAGAATCGACAAGACTTTTTCGGGGAGGGCCTAAGTAGGACAAGAATTTATAAACACAAAAAAGGGAGAAAATTTGAATTTCAATGACGGCTAAGCGGGTTTTGTAGAAAGCTGTAAAGTAGCACAACTGAGACGATAGAGAGGGCGAGAGAGAGGGAGAGAGAGAAAAGAGAGCGAGAGAGAGACTGAGACAGAGCGAGAAGCCAAAAAATAAACGTGAAGAACTGAATGTACAATGGCGTTTGGTTTTGGCTTGGGAAATGGGTGGATGGCTAGAAGAGAACCGGATCATGGGAATTTCAAAAAGTTGGGTATTTTTAATGGAAAAAAACCAGGAAATTTAGATCAAACCCTCGATATTCGGGGGCGGGATGTGGGGCAGGTCCTTGGCGTGGTGTTCCTCTTCCCATTGTGGCCGGTATTCGCCGTGGTTTTTCCGCTTGTCCTTCATGTAGCGCATGCCGATAAAGATGCCGATGGCGATGAGAGCGAGGAGTACCTGAAAAGGTGCGCAGTTATCAATCACCATAAAGCTTTTGGTCCTCAGCTTCAGCGAAGCCTAAACTAAGCCGAAGTGAAGCTTAAGCTAAGCCTAAGCTAAGCCTAAGCTAGGCCCAAGCTAAGCCTGTGCTAAGCCTAGGCCAAGCCTAAGCTAAGCCTATGCTAAACCTCAGCTAAGCCTAAGCTAGGCCTGAGCTAAGCCTATGCTAAGCCTAAGCCAAGCCTAAGCTAAGCCTAAGCTAACCTAGACGAGTTCTAAGCTTCCTAGTTCCTTTGAAGCCTACCAGAACTCCAATAACAATCCCAGCAACTGCGCCTCCACCCAGACCGCCAGAATGTTCAGTGACGGCTTCGACAGTTGAGGTGATTAAAGTGGTAGCAACTGTCGGTTCCGCGGCTGGAGCATCCGAGAAGTTTCCCTGTCGTAATCGGATCGACAGGGCAAGTAAGGACTTACCATAGCGGCGTTTAGACGATTGCTGCTAAGAAGCTCTTGCTTCGCCCTGAAAGTTGGTACGATTAAATTTCTCTCATTTATTTTTAAGACATAAGGTAACGCTAAATGTTAATTGGCTTATTAATTACTTATAGTTAATTGGCCAGTAAAAAACTACGGCTCTTTCGGGCTCCTTTCTGTTCCTCTAACCATAACGCAAGCTGGTGAAATATGGCTTTTTTGCATTATGCAAATTCCCAAAAATTACGTCCGAAAATTTTATTTGATTTACCGGTAGTTATTATATTTGTATATCTATCTATCATATCTTAAACACTCACAAATCGGTCCTTGTATGGTTCGTATCAACGGCCATGCTGAGAAAATGCTTCAGGGCGGCTTCAAGGACTGGCGGGGCGACGTCGGAGTGCTGAAAAACTTCGACATTTTCATGTGCTTGAACTTTGCTTATTACGAAGCCTCGAAAATTACTTACTGAAAGTGGGCAGACGCAGTATAAATCTTTGCCGGTAGCAGATTGGCAGCCGGTGAGGATCGGGGCTGTGGTTTCGGCTGAAAATGGGAAGACGTAAACTTCAGACCAAGGGAAAAATATGACATACAGTAGATAACGAGGTTTAAGGATCGGGAGTTAAAATATATTTAAAAACCACGGAATTATGGAATTGCGAAATCCCGTTCGAGAATGCCCCAAAAATAGAAAAAATTAAGCTTGCTTGAAAGGGGTCAACTCGTACATGACACGTACATCTCTTTCCGGTTAGGTCCTATCCACAATTGGCCAAAAGCTAGCAGGTTACGATAGGAAAACCGGGCAGACACACAAGATGGAGCAGAGCGCCTCCTTACGGTTTGTACAAATTAACACGAACTTGTCATAATAAGTCGCGTAAAGTAAAGTAGCGGATACGCGGGAACGCATGCGTGTAATGCATGCGCAGTTAGTCGTCGCCGGCTTTGTGGAGGCTGGGTAAATGCAAACAGGACACATGCGGAATGGAAGGCCCCCATTGAATGGGACTTGGTGGAGGGGTTGGTTGGGGTGGGTATACCAGGGGGGAGAAATTCTATCCCTCCAGGGCCAGGTGGGAGCGCGTGTGCCTCTGGAGACTTTTCAAACATGTCAAATACCAAAAATGCGTAAGCTAAACTGGAGATAGCTATTGCTTTAAAAGCTCTTTAAATTATGAAGTGCGTGAAAATTATTATAAAAGATGAAAACGGAACAAAAGTCAAAGCTAGTCTTAACTTTTTTTCTCTTTCCAGCCAATGCGTTTTGAATTTTGAATTTTTTTTAATTTAAATTTTAAAGGTTACTTTTAGAGGCATAATAATTATATAAAATCTCCTTAAATTTATTAGAAATCCAGAAGTTTCGAATTGAATGACTTCATAAACCAGGGTATCAAATAACTAGGCGTCGTCTAAACACAACGCATTTTTTTCGGATTAGGAAGTATTAGTGTTATCAGGCCCGCAAAGTCAAAAAAATTAAAAAATAAATGTAAAGCTGCCATTTTTGCTATTAAAATTAGATTTTACGACATTGGCATACACGATGTGAAAAATCAAAAATTCTCATAAATCAATCTCAGCAATTCTAAAAAAATTGGGGCCGTTTTATAAAAACTTTTGCTACTTTTTCTGTCTTATCAAACTAGGTAACAAAAGTACGCGGGGGTCGGTTGGTTGGGGTGGGCCAAGTGGAACGGGCGATTAGGGTCCAATTCCTCCAGTTTAGCCTTCCTTTGGTCGTTCCCAGCGTCCTCAAGAGCAGAAAAAGGATTTCAAATCACCTAATCAAACAAACAAGCAAATTTAGGGCAGCTAGGGGAACGGACTGGAGCTTGATTAGTTCAAAAAAAGTCGATGAAAGGGTCCGAAATGCAACAAGACCAAACGCACAGTTAAAAATTTGCTTGAGCCATTCCACTATTTTTCAAATTGCTGTTACCATCTTGCGAAATAAAGCCAGTTTTGCCTGAAAATCCACGCAAATCCCGGGGATTTTGGTTGGAAAATGGTCGCCTGGCAACCGAAAATTGGGGGCCCCGGATTTTGAATGGCCGTTCCGTGGGCATGCAAATTGCGGCGAAAGGGCTTTTAAAATCACCTAAAAGGGCCACAAAACACAGAACTGATTGATATAAAATATCGAAAATAACACGCTCAAACCGTAGATTATCACATGCTGATCGAAGCAGTTGGAAATCCAAAGGTATTACGGTGGCCAAGCTATATCTATTTAAAAAAGCATTTCAAAACCGGACTTTAACTGAGTCTAACAAGGGAAAACAAACAGATGAAACACGGCAAAAACTGACTAAGAACGGAAAAACGAGACTAATGGAATCAAACCATTTTCACGTTATAGTTTAGGTTTCTATAACAATATTTTCCTATAAATAACCTTCTGCTAAAAGATGTTAGACCAGTTCCGGGGAGTGAAGGAAGAGGCGATGGTAGGGCGGATTATTTTCCAACCAAAATATGGGCAGTGTATAGGGTCTTTTGTGGAGAATAGTGCTGTTCCCTCTGATTCTCGATCGGAAGGAAGGGAATCGGTCCCACCCTATGTATAGAGAGAGAGAGAGAGGGGACGTCTTTTAGAGAGAGATGAAGGCTGTTTGGCAAAATAAACTATCAGAAAAAGCGGCTGGCGCAACCTAAAGGGGTAAAGAAGTCGTGGCCGCCAAATCTGATCAGAATGATAAATCACTATTGTTAGAGTCGCAACTTAAGCGGGGATCCTGCAAAAATTCCGAATTCACTCCAAAGGAATGGTGACATCAAATTCTAGCTAAAATATGTAGGATATAGCTAGTAGGAATTTGACCGTATAAAAGGGGCCCGGAAGCTCGACAATCGACCCCTATGACGGCTAGATCTCGACCGTACGCGACACGCCAACGCGCAGACGCAAGGCTATTTCTATTTTGCCAGAACGTAAATACCCAAGTGACAATCAAATAAAGTGGGGTGTAATTTGGAGTCACGTGTAACTTTCCAGACCTAGTAGTCACCGGGGCGGTCAATCAAGAAATCAAGGAGTTATCATCAACCCACTAGCTGTAGTGGGCAAAAGCTATTTAGGTACTAATTAGGAGAATTAGCGATATTTCAACAGCAATG